CCCCTCCTTCCGCCGCGCCCTAAAGACATGGCTTTTCCAACAAGCGGGATTGGCCTAGGGAATTTTAGTGGGGTTTTTAAGGGAAATTTTAATTATTAGGCCTTTACAAATATTTTCTTTTAATCTGGTTTTAAATTGATATTTATTGTAAATACTGGTTTTATAAGGCTGTCAGCCGCCCTGAGTCCGGTAAGGAGAAAGGCGGGATACAAATCAAATTAAATAAATAAATAAATAAAATAAAATAAATAAAGCTGTTTAGAAGCGTAATTAAAATCTTCTCAATAATTTATATATGCAATTGAGATTTAAACGCAGTTTGAAGGGACAATGCTAAACTTCTGATGGTCCTAAAACTACACTATAATTTGATGTTACTTTTGAATAGCTCAATTGATGGACAGGAACACCTGAGTTGTATTTGTGATACTTGTTTGTAAAGTACAGATTTGTTCCCAAATTGCCCTTTTCATTTTTTACATCATTAAGACTTATTGAAACCCAGACTCATTTAATCTCCTGCCTCTCTAATTTTATTAAAAATCTTAAAGGCTTTATCAAACAAAGGATAAGAAGATGAAATAGGCATATGGATCTGTATCTTCATGCAAGTGTTAACAGTGCTGCTGTTGTTCCTTCCCTTGATTTGCAGGTAGCTGTGAGTCTTGGCACTCCAATCATGAAAGCAGAGTGGATTTATAGATCTTGGGAGAGGAGAAATGACATGTATGTATGATCTTTCCTGTAGAAAGGCCTTGCATAGCATTCTTTTAGCTTGAAAGCAAATATTTCAGAATAATAGGAAATAAAATTTAATACAGTTGCCTTAAATTCATTCCTTTCTCTCTGTCCTTTCCCTCTTTTAGTGACTTTTGTGCTGCTGATGAAGAATTTAGGAAAGAATTTAAAGTTCCACCATTTCAGGACTGCATTTTAAGTTTTCTTGGGTTCTCTGATGAAGAGAAAAAGAACATGGAAGAAATGACAGAAATGCAAGGTAAATATGGGAAGGTTATGGCTGAGTGCAAAATTCGGTCTAATAATCCATTCTTTATTTTAGCCATCGTGTCCTGTTAAATCATGGCTAAATTTGTGTCTCACACTAAGCCACAGCCTTACTACAATATGGCTTTCCTAGACATACGAACTTTCCATTGTAACTGACACTACAATCAATGTAGACATTTTGTATACAAATTTCAAGAGTGAGGTTTTATTAAATTTTATTTATTCTTAATGTTTACATAGTATAGCAGTTGATTTTTATAATAAGAAATCTGGTAACAATATGGCTATTCCTGGTCATGGATTCATATGTTTCTTTGGAGTTCTTGATGCTCACTGAACTTGGTTGTTTGCTTGCAGGCATTTCATTACCAGACTAAGTAACATCTTCAATGGTAGAAGGGAGTGGGGTTTGCTGTATCTGGTTTAGACAGCTATTATCTGCTGCAACTGTTATATACAGTTTTTGTTTATAAACAGAGCAAACCTCACTTCCTTACTAGAGGATGTCAAAAATCTACATTTACTTAGACTAATAAGCTTTACATTTTTTTTGTAACTTCCTTTCTAAATAGCTGCATTGAGCAAACCTTAGCTTTGATGTTTCATTACTACATTGTGATGTTTCTTTACAATTGTTAGCTTTTTTATTTCCTTATATGCACAGTTCATTGCAAAAGAAATGATAAAATAACAGGCAATTGATTACTTTTCATCCACAGGAGGACAGCATTTGCCTGCTGGTGATGAACGCTGCACTCATCTTATAGTTGAAGAAAACACAGTAAAAAATATTCCATTTGAGTTGTCTCCGAGCCTTTTTGTTGTAAAGCAAGAGGTCAGTCTAAATATAGTACCCTGGATTCTTAAACGCATTTGTTTAATAACATTTTCTGGATTTTATAGGTTTTATAATGGTAAGCCGTGCTCAGTAGTATTCTGTGGAATGATAGATAATTGCACCTGCTTGAATAAATGACAGAAAATACTTTTTCTCCCTCTAGTGGTTCTGGGGAAGCATACAGATGGATGCCAGAGCTGGAGAATCAATGTACTTATTTGAAAAGGTATGCTGCTATGCAAGAAAATGGAGAATTTGGGGAACAATTGGCAAAATCAGGCCTAAATCTCTCAAATGTGTTTCCCGGGTTAAACTTGCAAGGAAAAAAAAAACAATAATACAAGTAGTCTTCGTCTTACAACAGTTCATTTAGTGACCATTCAAAGTTACAATGTCACTAAAAAAATGGGACTTATGACCATTTTTCACACTTACGACCATTGCAGCATCTTCATGGTCACGTGATCAAAATTCAGACGCTTGGCAACGCTTGGCTCATATTTATGACGGTTGCAAGTGTCGTGGGGTCACGTACATCACTTTGGCCACCTTCTGACAAGCAAAGTCAACGCAAAAGCCAGATTCACGTAACAACCGGGTTACTAACTCAACAAGTGTTCACTTTAACAACTGCGGCAAGAAAGGTCGTAAAATGGGACAAAATTCACTTAACAAATGTTTCACTTAGCAACAGAAATGTGGGGCTCAATTGCGGTCGTAAGTCGAAGACTACCTGTAATAACTTTGAAGGGCAAAAAGTGACCATCTGTACAGAACCTGGGCTGTAAAAGGGAAACAGTTACTAATCTGGACATCTTGTCTTTCACTATAGCCAGACAGTCCCGAATTGAAGCCCTCGACCTCGCTACTTTCTCTAAATACTCCCAACAGCAACCGGAAGAGACGGCGTTTGAGAGAAACCCTTGCTCAGCTAACCCGAGAAGCGGACATGTCTCCCTTTCCACCTCGGAAACGGCCATCGGCCGAACATTCCCTTTCCATAGGATCTTTACTTGACATTTCTAACACCCCGGAGTCGAGCATGGCGAACGGAGGTATTGCTGAGCTATCTTTGTATATTTTTATTTTTCTCATGAAAATAAAACGCCGCTGGATCGTTCTGCCAATATGAGTAACAGGCTTTTTCCTTCTCAAACTATGCAGGGAAGAGGCTAGAATTGAGGAGCCCGGAGAAAGATAGAGAGAAAGGCACCTATGATGTCCTTAGGCTTAGTCGGATGAGGAAGAGATCCTGCAGAAACTCCAGTTGTATTTCTTTGCATAATGTTTCTTGTAAATGTTGTATAAACTCATTAGTAAGTCTACAACAAACAGCCGAGGCAACTAGCAGTAATGTACGTGAAAGCCTAGTTAATGGAACACCTCAAATGAATCTCCAAAAATATTTTCTTTTGCCAATGGAACATAAAATAAATCATGTCAGCTTCCATTCCATCCCGGTTTTGAAAGATGTCTTGTGTCAACAACCTCCAGCTGTAAGCATGCTGAGAACTTCACAAGGTGATGGTGGGTTGACTGACAGTGTTTTTAGGTAGAAAGGATTGTTTGCTTTGAATGCAGAACTTAAGTGCACGAAAGGGACAATTTCAGAATGACCATTGGATCAGTTTGGAGAATCCACTTGCAAATCAGCTTTCTCCCTGGAGATGTTTTATATATAAATTAAGCATTTCCAAGGAGCGCAAGCATTCGATGATAAAGAGTTTGGAGGCTACGTTTTGTGAAGGTTGAGGGAACTAGGTATGTCTAGCCTATTGAAGGGAAGGATTAGGAGGGACATGTTTGCCAATGGTTGTGGAGGCTGTCACACAGAAGTGGGTATTGGCTTCTTTTCTGAGGCACCAGAGGGCAGGAAAAGAAGTAACGGGTGAAATTTATTAAAAAGAGATCCAACTTAGAAGCAAGAAGAAATTTTCTGACAATGCAGTAGCTTGCCTCTTAGGGTTGTGAGTGTTCCATCACGGGAGGTTTTCAAAAATAGACGGGACAAGCATTTGACCGGGATGATCTAAGGTCTCCTGCTTTGAGCAGGGTTGGACTAGAAGACCTCTGAGGTCCCTTCAAGCCCTCTGATTCAGTGATTCTCATGAAATGCAGGAAGTTAGAAGAACAATCAGCAAAAAGGCTATAAGTACAGCAATATATTTTTTTTTATGCCTGTTGATGGCAATCATGGTTGGGTAATTGGATCTGACTAATAATCTGAATCAAATCCAAACGTCAGTTTCATGTTTGGGTTGCTAGCAGGTAAGCTGTTATTTGGAATTCATAGCGTATCTAAAATTCCTAGCAATTAATCCTATAGCAAATTGTACAAGTTCAGAGCGCTCTAGTTGTTTTCCCCGATGGTGCTGATAGAATAGTCAGCAGTTATTTCACAGAGAGAAAGTAGTCGACAACTATAACATCACCTGATGATATTGAAGATGACCTCTGCCTTCAATTTTTGGTGTTTTGGGCAGTCATTAAAACTTGTACTGTACTCGGCCCCAGTTCATGTTAAATTGGCCTTTCTATTTTAAGAATGTTTCCTAGCTTCCGTAGTAAGTTTCCTGCTTTTTTAAAAAAGAAAAGTGTCATAGTATTTCTCCGTCCTTCGCAGAAACGCCTAAATCTTGTGCAAAGCCATCCAAAAACACAACTCCCTTTCCTTCAAAGCAATCCGCCAGGTGGCAGGTTGCAAAGGAGCTGTATCAGACAGAAAGCAACTATGTAGATATCCTGACAACAATAATCCAGGTAAGTTGCTCCATTTACTGCATTATTTCTTAAATTGATGCTTTAAGTGGCTTGTGCTAAGACTGATACTGCAGCAACCAGTTAGAGACGATTCCTTGTGCGCATTCCAAGAGTCTCCTCTTAGATACGATGGAAGAAGAATATAATGGCAATTTCCTTGCTTCCTTCTCTGACCTCAAGTCCACTCTGTGCTGTTCTGGAGGAGCTTCTAAGTCCCTGGAATGAATGGAGGGGGGGCATGATGGGTTTGCAGGAAGAAGGGAGAACTCTCACTCATACCCTTCCATACATGTTAACGGAGGCAGTTGCTAAAGTAGAGCTGCTTCACTGTCAAAATACTTTTGGTTTCTGTTTAAGGAACAGATATGGTCATTTATTCATTTATAGTTTTAGTTTGGTAATGCTGTCTGAGTATCTTGCTTATGTTAAGCCATCTTTGGCATCTACCCACCATGCAGCATGTCTGAATCGAAATTGATTTATGGGGTCTGTCTGTTTCTCAACCTCAGCAACTTTGAGATGGCTGGACTTCGAAGCAAAGCTGGCTGGGGAATTCTGGGAGTTGAAGTCCACTTTTCTTAAAGATGCTGAGGTTGAGAAACATCAGTCCAGCATCACGAATGTTTTAGCCTGAGGTGCCCCTCTGTTGGGCTTGTCTGTTTCATGTACAAAAATCTTAAATCCCAGATTGGGGATTGAATGTCTCAGCTTTTTCTGGAGGTTTATTTTTAAAAGGAGATGAAACTACACCTCTGCTTTAAAGGACAAGCCCAGCATATGATTTAGAAGACAGTATCTTCAGAGAGAGAGAGAGAGATTCACGGGAACAAAAGGGACGGGAAAGTTAATTTATCAAGTTTTGTCTAACCGACCAAAATACACAAAACACC